CTTTCCCTAAGTTGTGGGAACCAGGAGAAGCCCGGGTGACCCTCTCTTCCTCTCCCCTTCCCAACCCTGGTCCCAGCAGACAGTCCCCCCGGGCCTCGGGAATAAACTCCAGTGACTCTGAGGGAGAGCAGGTCCCTGCCCAGAGCGCGTGGAGCTGTATGGACCCGGGAGGGGGTGAGAATGCAGTGGCTGGGCATGTGCAAGCTGTCAGGCAGCGTGCTCAAAGCTGCCTCATTCGTTTGGATTCATAATCAATCTGTCTATTCAAGTCCATTATCTCCTCGTTAGCTCTGCCAGTGATGGAGGAGGAGGGGACCCAGCAGGCGGAGGCAGGGGGTCAGGCTGCCGCCCCACCCAGAGAGAGAGCTCAGCTCACCAGCCTGCAGGCCTTCTCCTACCCACCCAGCCCCAGTCTGTCCTCGCCCCTCACTCCCAGGCTGGACCCACTTGGGCTTGGGAGGAAATTGAGAAATGAGAGCTCTGATAGGAAATATTCCAGAGCCTGGGCCCTGGCTTGGAGGTCCAGGGTGATGAATGGAATGGACGGGGGGTGGGGGGGGCAGCCTGGATCTCATGTCCCTTCCCATTATGCCGAGACCTAGGCCCAGACCAAGACAAGGCCATCTCTTCTTCTCCTGGTCTCCCTAGGGCCTTTAGAGAGACTGAGCACCTTCCCGTTAATGGCAAGATACCCGAGGAACTCAGTGCCCATTACCGCAGGCTGTTCAAGTAACTTCCAGAGATGGCCCCTGACTCAGACACCTTCTCGCCTGTCCGTCCCTGCATGAGACCCAGGCTCCTGGCCCACCCTCTAAGCCCCCAGCCCACAGGAGGGGGCTTTTCTAGCAGGTCCTCCTCTCTCCTCCTCGTCTTGCTGGCCCCACCAGCCACACAGAATACTCAAGTATTTTCCAGCCATCACCATGCGATGCTTGAGTATCTCTAAGCCAGTTATTACAGAACACTCCCATAGGTTTCGCCAGCTGCTAAAAAGTACTTGAGTATTTAAAATATATTTTTATTGATTTCAGAGAGGGAGAGAGAGATAGAAACATCAATGATGAGAGAGAATCGTGGATCGGCTGCCTCCGGCACACCCCACACTGGGGGTTGAGCCCGCAACCCAGGTGTGTGCCACCGTGACCTGGAATCCAACCGTGACCTCCTGGTTCATAGGTTGACGCTCAACCACTGAGCCTCGGGCGAGGATACTTGAGTATTTTGTAACCGGTTACTGCAGAAGGCTGGACAGTCCTCCCAGTGCTGGGCCCTGACTTCCTCTCCAAGTAGGGAGACAAGAGAGCACAGGGAGATGGGTGTGGGGAGAGAGAAGCCAGGAAGGGAGGGGGGGGTCTCATTTCCTATATCCAAATCAAGGAATCGTGGGGAGATGGGGAGAAGAAAGCTCAACCACCCAAGCTATGACTCCTCACCACCTCCCAGTTAAATTCCCAATTCCAGAGGGAAGGAGTGGGGGCTGCCTGGTCATGACAAGGGAGGGATGGGGGGAGTTTCCCCCGGGAAAAAGGATAAGGCGGTAGGGGTGTCCAAACGGAAGGGTTCGCCTGAGCTCCAGAAAGCTGCTTGGAGACGGCTGGGCTCTCTCAGACCTGGTCCGCGGAGAGTCCCCCTAGTTCTCTCCGAAGCCAGCGCCCCCGCTGCCCTGAGCACTAGGTCACGTCCAGGCAGGGACTGTGGTTCCCGACAGGGCGGCAGCGGCGGCGGCGCAGGAGCAGGACCAGGGC